CCCCGATGGGCTATTTACTTTTTTTGACACTACGTCGCAAATTTAAGTCCGATTTTAATGAGCCGTACACCGTTGTTCATGGCTTGGAAGCCGCCACAATTCTTACCTTAATCATTTTTTACTCCGAGTTCAAATTCTAGTAGTGACTGTCGGTATCTCGTTTCACATCATACCTAAATTCCAATTTTTTTTAGTCTGTCGAAAAGGCCTTTAAATTCTGTGAAACTTTTTCTAAAAAATGATTAAGGTAATAATTGTGGCGGCTTCCAAGCCATGAACAACGGTGTACGGCTCATTAAAATCGGACTTAAAATGGCGACGTAGTGTCAAAAAAAGTAAATAGCCCATCGGGGGGGCGTNTTCCATTTTTCATCCCTGGTACATATGTACATATGCATATAAATATGTGAATATTATATTAGGGCAGCATTTAAAACGACAAATAAAATTTATTACATACATAAGCATAGATTATGGAATTAAATATTTTTTAGAGATATATACATACATACATATGTACATACATAACATGCATATTTATATATGTACACTTAGGCCTCTTTTTATGCGGATTTGAATTTATGCGGTTTTTCAAACCATTATTTCGCAGTAGCGATTTTGCTTTTGTGAGAGATTTTATTACTTTTTTCAGTGTAAAAGACAATGCTTCTGATAAATAATTTGTCTTTGTATTCTTACATAATAATAATAATAATAGATTGGCGCTTACACACATGTTAGTGTTTGGCCGAGCTTCTCCTCCAATTTGTGGTGTGCGCCTTGATGTTGTCACACAAAGGGGAGGGACTTACAGTTTTACACCGACTCCGAACGGGGATTATATTTTTACGAAAAGCTGTTTTTTATTGCAGAAATACACTCGGAGCTTTGCCATGGCCTGCCGAGGGTCGACCGCTGTTAAGAAAAAACCTTTTTTTCTAAATTTTTTTGTATGTATTCTTACATAATTCATGTATTTATTGTGGTATTTTTATTTTATTTTTTTGGTTAAAATACAGATAAAATTTTATTTATTTCATTAATGTTCGGTTTTACATGGAATAATAAGTGTTGAAGTGAAGAAATAAATAGTTTTTTTGCTCAATAATGCCTCACTGGAGTTTTTTACGCGGTTTTTTAGAATTTTTTACATGGAGTATCTGAATTTATGCGGTTTTTGAAAATGCTGGAATGCATCCCCTGTTTTTGTATGAAAGTAAAGAAATTTTTTATGCGGCTTTCTGAGGAACGCATGTACCGCATAAAAAGAGACCTAAGTGTATGTATGTATTTATGTATGTATGTATGTATGCATGTACTTATGCATGTCTTTTGTCTTTACAGAGAAAAGTAAGTAACGAAGCTATTATAATCATTTGTGCCGCAGAAACAAATAAAACAAGTAAGCACTTGTTAGGTTAGGTTGGAGTGGCAGCCCCGCGCAGAGCGCGGAGCACACGTGGGCTGGAAAAGCCCGTTGTGATACCATTGGCCGAAGCCATTTGTTTCTTTCCCTTCCTTAGTAATTGAACCACCGAGTGCGTTTTATATAGCACAAAAAGTCGAGGACGTTCGCCGAGTTCAAATCGGCTAAACAATCTAGAAAGTACTTGTTGAAGAATCGGTTTCGCGTGTTGGCCAAGGCGGGACAATGGCAGAGTGTTCAACGGTCTCCAGCTCTTCCTCGTCTCTGCAACTGCGACAAAAATCGTTGGTGGGGTATCCTAGCCTTTTTTCCTAGTGTGCCCATCAGGCAGTGTCCGGTGATTACCCCGACTACTAATCTGAGAGAGGAACGGTCTAGCCGGGTAAGAGCTATGGATCGCTTTACATCAATCTTTGGCCAAATTTGCCTGGTAGTATCGTAGGTGGTTTCCACAACCGACCTGAAATTTACCTCCTCGACGAGTTCCGCCTTTAATCTGTGTTTGCAGGAAGTTAGAGGTATGCCCGCATTCTGAGCAGAATTGACTACAGATATTTCCGTCCCCCTCCTTGTCAGCTCGTTGGCTAGGCAGTTGCCAGGAATGTCCCTATGTCCAGAGACCCATACAACAGTCAAGGAGCATTTTGATGCCAGCAGGTTGAGAATCTTCCTGCATTCTATGGCTACTTTGGACGTTGTTCCGTTAGAATTGCGAGATTTGATATCAGGCTGGCTGTCATAATAGATAGCAATAGGCCGCCCTGGAGGGGTGGAGGTTATAACCCACCGTGCCGCCTCCCTTATGGCGTTTAATTCTGCTTGAAAAAACACTACAATGGTCCGGTAAGCGAAAACTGAGGTTTAGCGCGAGTTTGTCAGAGTAGATCCCGCTACCCACTCTTTTGTTAAGCTTGGAACCATCTGTAAATATGGCCGTAGACCCTGGGTTCAGGTCTGTGGCTCCTTCCCATTCGTTCCTCTCTGGGATTCTTGTGGAGAATTTGTTGTCTAAGCAGAGTAGAGGAGTGGTATAATCTATCTGTCGTAGATTATCCGGTAGAGTTTTAAGTACTTTTGTGTGTCCGAATCTGAGGTCTCTCCACGGTTGGATTGTATTTAACCTGGTCGCACTGCAGCCGGCCCGAAATTTTCCGTAGAGATCCACAGGTGTAAGATTTAACGTTATTTCCAGAGATTTGGTAGGTGTAGTGGGCAGTGCTTCCGTGACTAGCATGGCAGCCGTCGCACCCGTTCCACCTTGGCTCTGGACAAAGTGTTGTTTAGCGCAGGCCACCATACGGTGACCCCGTAGAAAAGCATGGGTCTTATCACAGCTGTGTACATCCAGTGTACTATGTGTGGTTTTATTCCCCATTTTTTGCCTATAGACGTCTTACTGCCATAAAGGGCTTCCAGTCAAGTTTTTTGTCTAGAATAATTCCAAGGTATTTGACCTCGGTTGAGAGAGTAAGTGCCACTCCGTTTAGGGTGGGAGGTTTAAATAAGGGAGTTTTATACTTCCTTGTGAAAAGTACCATTTCTGTTTTGGTAGGATTGACGCTAAGTCCACATTCCTCGGACCAGATGTTTACCAGACCGAGTGCGTTTTGCAATAACTCACTCAGGACCTGAAGATATTTGCCCGTTGCCACAGTTACTATTTCATCAGCGTAGGCTATGACTTGACAACCGGTGCCCTTTAGGCTTAGAAGTTGGGTGTTCACTGTTAGATTCCAGAGTAGAGGGGAGAGAACGCCCCCTTGGGATGCCTCTGGTCACATATTTTGTGATGGAAACATCGCCCAGTTCTGATAGAATAGTTATCTTTTCAAGAAGGAGCCCAACATAATCTACCAGACACCGCTGCACCCCCGCCATGAGAAGGGAGTTAACAACAGACTTCGGTTAGACATTGTTGAAAGTACCCTCGATATCGAGAAAAACTCCGAGCGTGTATTCCTTTAAGGCCAATCCTTTTTCAATCTTCCATACGATTTCATGGAGTGCGGTATCCACGGATTTTCCTTTGGAATATGAATGCTGGTTCGGGGAGAGGTTGTAATTTTTTATATTCCGTCGAATATATTCGTCGATGAGCCTCTCTAGAGTTTTAAGGAAGAATGAAGTGAGGCTTATAGGCCTGAAATCCTTCGGTTTCACATGTGCAGCTTGCCTCCTTTTGGTAAGAATACAGCTTTTGCCTTTGTCCACTCATGTAGTACGTGAGTCAGGGTTAGGCAGGATGCAAAAATCTGAGAAAGCAGGGGGCACAGTATGTCCTTAGCTTCCTGTAGTTGAGCGGGAAAGATTCCGTCAAGGCCCGTAGATTTGTAGGGCTGGAAGGACATTAAAGCCCATTCCACCCTCTCCTCACTTACGACGTCCCTAACGGGAGTGGTCCTGTGCTTGTCCGTTGAGGACTTTTGCTCGACCACTACACCTTGCGGTTTTAGTGTGCCCTGGATGGGCATGGGGGAGGGGGCCTTCCGCAGCTTTCACGCCGGCTTCGACTTTCCCTCATGGAGTATAGTACCACCGGCATCCCTGGAGGTTCGCTTTCCCTCTGGNCGTTGAGGACTTTTGCTCGACCACTACACCTTGCGGTTTTAGTGTGCCCTGGATGGGCATGGGGGAGGGGGCCTTCCGCAGCTTTCACGCCGGCTTCGACTTTCCCTCATGGAGTATAGTACCACCGGCATCCCTGGAGGTTCGCTTTCCCTCTGGGGGTTTAGCAATCCTTCCAGCTTCAGCGGAAGCCCGAAGATGCTTGAGCCGTTCAGTCCTCTCGGTTCCGTCGATGCGGCTTCCGAGGTGGTTGGTGTTTTTGACTTATCATCGCCGTTTCCAGCGGCGGCACTACCCGTGCAGGGTTCCGAAGCTTCTTAATTTACTTTATTCTTCATTCTGGTTCTTTGGGCACCTACTGAGCCGAGGCCTTTCGGTGGTCGGAAAATAAGGAAAGGGGAAAAAACGGTCGACCACGGCAGAGCCCCATGCCGCAGCAAGTCCACCGTTACTCCCGGAGAATACAGTCGGAGAGCCCCCTGACTAAAAACCTTCCAATGGGCACGGTGACGCATGACACCCTGGATTAGGGGGGGGGGGGG